TAGACATGTACCAGCCATACTGAGACATCAGAAGTTTACCCTGTTGGGAGCTGACTCCTAGCAGAGACCAGCTATCAACTTTGCTGCCATCTAATGCCATAAACCCTGACAAGACACTTGTTTTTCAACAGCCCACAGCAGGTGAGCACACTCTGATAAACATCTTGTTTTTCTCACATATCTTGTTTTGTTGTTTAGTACCCCTAGCTGCATGTGGTACCCATGTTGAAAGACATATGACATAGTACCTTTCAGCTATGTTTCTCTGCTTGTCCACGAGGGCAAGGCATGGGGTAAAGTGCATAAATACCCAGGATTTCCTTTGAATAAAAGGGGATTTGATCAGACCCTCTGTCTTGTCTCCATTCTTCAAGTCTCTTACCCTTCCATCCCCACTCTCTCTCTCGCTAGAGCCTGACATGAGGACTGGAGAAGCAGCTCAGGCTGGGACATTACCCTACCATTCTGATACCTTAGGATACCAGACATAGAATCATAATGACGTGTAGTAGTTGATGTGGTAATCCACATAGTCAGTTTGATCCCCAGTTCCTGCTACCCAGGAGATGAATCATAAGCTAGTACTGTGAATCCTGTTTTGAAGTGTGTAGGAGAAGATGTAACAGTCCTCATGTTTACACTATAAGCAACAAAGCAACTCCCTTACCATGTCTCAGACCTGAGGTATCTACTCTAAACCCAAATTTCTTTACAATATCTCAGTTCCTCAATCTCTTGCCTAACTTGTAAATAAAATAAATATAATTATCCTCTTTATCCCAATTAATTTCACTTTCCTATGGAGTCTACATTCCATTTCTATTCCTCTACATACTAAATTGCCCTAACTTCTGCTTTCATTTATTTTCATTTGTTTTCTCTAACATCTTTTTTATCCAATATGTAATGATCTCTTATTGTAACTTTGATTTCAATCCACTCAGTTTGTTAATTATTAGTGATTTTGAGTCCTTTTCTGCCCACTTATTGGACATTAATGACTCTCAATAGGAAACATCTATATTTGGGACCCAATCCAACTTACTTTATGTTTTAAGATTTTCCAAAGTTACTGGTAAATATAATTTAAGGTAGAAAGAAGAGTGAATGATTATGAGTTTTGTTACTTTGTGTTAGTTCCTACCTCCTACTGGTGGTTCAAAACTGTCTAGAAATCCAGCTGTGACCAGTCTGTAGCCCCTGGCACTCACACTAATATGTAACTTCCTGAATATACCCTTAATTAAAAACTGAATAAACCTTAAGTTCAATTCTTTTTTTTTTCTTCTCTCATTGGAACTATGCTTTTTAAATATTTTTAAAAGTTCTCTTGATTTATTTTTAAATGTTTTATGGTATTTTACAGATAATGATATGTTTTAATCATTCTATATTTGAAAGTTGAATGCAAGTGGTAATATTTATTCAGAAGAAAAAATATACTGTAATCAAATATTTTGTTTTTGGCTTTTTATAATGGGTTTGTCTGTATCTAGCCCTACCATTCTTAGAACTGTCTCAATAGACAAGATCAACAACTAATTCACAGATATATGTTTCTCTGTCTTTTGATTCCTATAATTAAAAGTACTTACCACACCTAAAGAAAATAGTAAACTTGAGTAAACATACACAATTTTTCCAGTTTCATTGAAATAATAGAGCACACCTAATTTTTTTTGTAAAGAAAACACATTTAAAAAGTTTTCTTTCAGTGAAGAGCCATATAAATACAATTATCATGATAGATATATTATTTAAGCTAAATTCATGTAATAATGCAGAAAATTGGAAAGGCTTTTACTTTAAGACATACCTGTATCACTGCTGGGCAAATACTCAAAAATGTTGCATCATACCACAAGGATACTTGCTCAAATACATTCATAAAAACTGTATTCATAATAACCAGAAGCTGAAAACAATTCAGATATCCGTCAACAAAAGGATGCAGAAACTGTGGTTCATTCACACAATGGAATACTCTTCATCTCTTAAGATATGAGGGCATCATGAGTTTTGCAGGCAAGTCAATAGAACTAGAAAATATCATCCTGAGTGAGGTAACTCAGACCTAAAAGGACATGCATGGGATGTACTCACTAATAACTGGATATCAGCCAAAAAAATATGTAGAATACCTAGGATACAATCCACAGAAGTCAAGAAGGTGAGCATGTAAAAAAGTCCAAGTGAGAATGTTTCAATTCCACTTGGGAGGGAGAAAATGCAATTACAGGAGTCAGAGGGAGGGAGGGACCTATGTGGAGAGGGGATGGGGATGGGAAAAAAGAAACATGATCAGGTATGGGGCAGGAGGAGACAGGATAGAAGACCTGGGGCCAGCAGAATGAATGAAAATATATAACCTTGGTAGTTGGGAGGTTAGGGGATTATCTAGAAGTTACCAGAGACTGGGAGGTAAGAGACTCTCAGGACTCAAAGGGAGGGACCTTAGATGAAATGCCTAACAGTGCAGAAATTGAACCTGTTGAGTCCAACTCCAGTGGAAAGACAGGGCATCATGTGGAATTTGTTGTTACCATCCCAGAGTCAAAAACTCTGGCACAGAATTGTCCCTGTCTAAAAGCGATGCAGGACTAAAATGGAGTGGGAACTGAGAGAAAGGTAGTCCAATGACAAAGCCAACTTGGGCTCCATCTCAAGGTGAGGGTCCAAGACCAGAAATTATTATACAATTGTATTGAATCTATGGTGCACTTACAGATAGGAGCCTAGCATGATTCTCCTCTTTGAGGCCCAATAAGCTGCTGACTGAGGCATATTCAAATACTTACACCAAAACATTGGACTGAAATTGAGGACCTCTGTGGTTGGATTAGGGAAACACTGGGAGATGTTGGGGAAAAGGTCCACCCCATAGGAAAATTAGCAGTCTCAACTTACTGGGACCCATGAGATCTCTCAGACACCAAGCCACCAACCAGACACAATAGAAGCTCTGTCCAAGGCCACTGAAGCACAGTCAGCAGAGGACTGACTGGTCTGGCCTCAGTGGGAGAAGAGTTACCTAACCCTTGAGAGACTTGAGGCCCCAGGAAGTAGGGAGGTCTGGCAGGAGGTGATAGGGATGTCCTCCTGAAGACACAAGGAGGAGGAATTGGATGAGGAACTGTCTGAGGGCTGACCAAGATTGGACTGTAAAAAATAAAAGAAACAAAAACTTGTTAAAAATCAATTTTCTAATGAAAGTATATATTTTAAGGTCAAAATGTTTCAAGTTTCTACTGTAAAACAAATAATTTATTATGAGGAGATTAATTCATATGTACCAACATTTATGTAAAATTCTCATGATATATGTACACCTATAGAAAAATACTTTCATATATGCATAAATATGTATATGCAAAATGTGTCAAATATTTACGCTCATTGTATAGTTTAATCATTTCAGAAAACTACTTGACATTATATAAAGTGAGGAAATAGATGAGGGTAGACAGGAGGGAACAACACTAAGGATGATTGAAAGTGCAAATGGGAGATCTTTGTATGCTTGTCTGTGTTTGTGTTTCTTTGACTTGTTCTTAACAGAGAACTACATTCATGTCAGAAACCATAGGGCATGATTTAAAAACCATGTACAGGATGCTCCCTTTTGAATAATTCTTTTGAGTATCTGGAGATACCAAAAATAATATATACTACTCCTATTGGTCCTGATGACCATCCTGAATGTTATAGCACAACCTTTCTGCTGAAGATACCACACAAACTTTAGAGATGGTACATGAGAAATCAAGTTCATATTGGCCAAGAAAACCCACTACTGTTAGAATATTTTACATCATCTGAGGTGTATGCAAGATGTTGGAGTAATAAAGATACCCAGCATTTTCCACTGTGAACTTCACCAATGACCATTTTACTAACATAATGCCATTGCAACATTGGTAGCCTATCTGTTAGTGGGGTCTGTAGCATTTTCCTAGGTGGATTTGGAACTTGGTTTATAATGATTCTCAATCCATGGTTCATGTGTAATGGAATACACAGAATTCTGGGAAGGAATTACAGACAAGGAGTAATCAAAATGTCACCAACATTATAAATATGGAATTATAAATTTAAAATATTTTGTAGTTTAATAAATGAATCTGGTCATCAATGCAGCTCTGCAGGTCTCTAGTAGGTCTCTGCATTACTGATGGTGCTAGCCTTTATCCATATTCCCAGACCTCCATGTGTACTGGCTGGTTTTGTGTCTGCTGTTAGAAGTTCTAAGCCTCTGTATTCCCCCTGAACACCCACACTCCAGTGTCATCCCCTTCCCCACATCCTGCCTTTCTGTGTTTATAACCCCTGTGAGAATGAATTATGATTTGAGAAAAAAATAAATAAATTATTAAAAAAAAAGTTCTAAGCCAGATGCTGGCCTCCAAACTTATATATACTATCCTGACCTTCAAAGGGCCATTGACAAGAACATCAAACAGCTAGAGACTGACATCACTAATTGGAAGACATCCCTCATTTCTCTGTCTGAAGAGACCTCTAAAAATCGCAAAGATCCTTATTGGACTTGATTTACTCTATTACAATAGAAAAGGCTGTGTACAGCTCCTGACTGTGTACAGCCCTTAAAGAAGAAAGTTGCCTATACATAGACAAGACCGCGATGGTTAAAGAGAACATGAGAAAGGTCAGAGAAGGCCCTGAGAAAAGCCAGAGAGAGAAAGAGAAAGATGAGTGCTGGTACAAGAATTGGTTTTGAGCCTCTCCATGGTTTTCAACCCTACTTCCTCCCATCTAGGGACCATTATTTGGGTTATTTTTGCTTACTTCTTTTGGTCCCTGGGCCTCAAATAGGCTGACTAACTCTGTGAAACAACAGATAAATAATTTGGTTCAAAACTGTAAGGGACCCCCGAGGGGGAGACCCCACTCTCACCCGGAGTTGCTTGCACCCAAGGAAACACGGAGACCTGCTTGATGCAAAATAGCAAAAGGTAGTGTACTGGCAAGGGGCCCTCGGGTCAGTCAGATTTGTGAATAGTCCTCAGGTGATGGTGGTATGTGGATGATTGGCGGAAACGCTTGCTACATTGGGGACAGGCATAAGGATTTTCTCCTGTGTGAATCCTCTCATGAGTGTTCAGGTTGGTTTTGTATCTGAAGGGCCTTTTACATGTGCTGCATTTGAAAGGCTTCTTTGTCTTGTGTATGATCTCATGAGATTTGAGGTCAGAGCGTTGTTTGAATATTTCCTGACAGGTGGCACAGACAAATGGATGATTTTTCAGGTGAGTTCTCTGGTGGGATGCAAGGTGACAGGCATATTTGAAGGTCCTAGGGCATTTTTCACACTTGTGTGGTTTGCGATCTCTATCAAGTTTCTTTTGATGACTTTCACATGGTGAGTTTGCCTCATGATTCTGACAAAGAAGGACAGGCTCAGAGGTAGGCTGCTCTGGCCTGGAGAGAAACCCTGGTACCTCCTTAGGGTCTTCTTCAGAAAATGGTTCCTCAAGTGACTCTTGCTGGCATGTGGATGTTCCTTGAGTTTCTCTTGTAGAATCCTGAAGAACCCTATAAGAAACATCTGCCATCTCAGGCTCAGGATGATGCATTCTCTGGTTAATGTAAAGGGAGTCCATCTTTTTCCTGGGAATATTATCACCACTATAGAATTGGGTAGCATTTGTGGAAGTGTTATAACAATCTTTCTTGTCTTCAGAGATGTTTCTTCTGGAGAAATCCATTGGATGCAACTCCGTGGGGACTTCTGTAGTAGTAGGAGTACTCAGGAACTCTTCATGATGGCTGGAGTTGCCTTGACTTGCTCTTGTGGCACCTTGAGGGAACTGAGAAAAACCATGTCCCTCTTCATGCTCAGGATACTGCTCTCTCTGGATGATAAGAAGGGAGTTGATCTCATTTCCAATACAGCTATCACCAACATTTCCTTCAGTAAAATTCCAAGACGTATTACATTCATTTTCACTGTTTTCTTGTCCTTTGGAAAGAAGACAATCTATGAAAATGTACCCAAAATGGATCCCCTGGAAACATGCCTCTTCTGTCCAGGTTACCCACTAACCTGTGGTCAATAATACATCTTGTGTGATGTCGGCTGGCATCCTTGCATTCTCTGGTGTTGTCCTTATTGTTGATTTCTGTTGTTTCAAAAGCTTGATGACTTCTTTTAATGACATGTTTTCAGGAAAGAAGGCTTCCTTTCCTTGCATGGAGACATGGACCTGCAAACAAAGCCAGGTTCCCCTTGTCCATGAGTCTGTGAATTGAGATGCCTACCCACAACCTGATAGCACAGGAAGACTGGACCATTGATTAGCTTCTTAGTCTAGCCCTTATGTCTAATCATCTTTTCCTGACACTCACAAATTCTGAGTTCTAAAGTCACTATAGACACTGTATTCCAAATGTTGAGTCAATGTCCCTAGAAAAACACAAGGTCATGTTCCTTTGAGCTCTGCCCACCAAAGATCCCTTAACTGGTCAACACATTGAAAGAGGATAAGCCTTTCTTAAGGTGGCCATAACTTCACCTTATCTTTTTTTTAAGTGTAGTGTCTCAAGAAAGCACAAGGCTTGCTCTGAGGAATATGACTTGATACTATGGGAGTGGTGTAATCAGTATGTATTTCCAATCATGTCATTTTAAACTTAAAATAAAACTTAAAGCATATTTAATGTATAGCATGTACCTTGCAAGATGTGTTTAAAATATTTAACCTAGCACTTGAGAAGCA